TTGAACCAATATGCTCATTATCTGTTTTTGACATAATTAATATGTTTTGTATTACAATATCTTCTTTTATAACAATTATTTGATTTATACTCGTTAGAGTGTACAGAAAAGATATTTATTAGGGTTACATGAAGGGGTGGGAATGTGTTTGACATAGAACTCACGGTTGTGGTTCTGAAGTTTGTTTGAGTGATTCGACGGCTCGGCTCGGACGGCGGCGGTGAATCCTCCTGGGTACAAAGGTCCTACTCGCGGCGGTTCAGGCTCGACTAATGGCTCGGCGTGAACGGCGGCGGTAGAATAATGACTGGAATGTCGATGATGAAGTTTCCCGGACACGGGGCGTACTCACGGCGGTTTGGGTTCGACTGATGACTCGGCTGGCGGCGGTATGACTGTAGACGTCGACTGTAGATCTTCCCGGACAAAGGGTGGGTGCACGGCGGTGACTGGCGGCTCAACTCGAACGGTGGCGGCTCAGTACAGTAACACGTACACAATCTGTCTCACAACGCACTCGGTCGGTGGCGGATGGCAGGGGAGGTGCCGGGAAAGACCACATGGAGCGCCGTATTACGGGTTTGCCGTCCGGCGTCCGAGTCTCAGGGCAGTGCTGGTAGTTAATACGAAAAACTGGTCCGTCTTACAATATTAGATATTGTCCGGTACCAAGTTTCTCGTATTACAGCGATGGGGAACTGATAGCCCTGAATCGGCGGCCAGCGGCCTATATATCTGTGGTTCGGTGGCGGCGGGTCCCGATTAAAATACTGACGGACACTTCTGGTTGCTTGGTTCTTCCAATGCTGTATTGAAGTGTCTAGTGGTATGAATATTATAGTATGGAATACGCTGATTCCGAATTTGTTTACTTCAAACTTCTATTCTGCTTGCTTCATACAGTAAACTTGATTCTACTGCGGGCGGCGTCCGGACTTCTAATCTGATGCGGGGCAGCGCTATCTAGTTTGCGTTGTATTCGCATGGGCTGTGTTGTACAGTTGACCGGCGGCGTGTTATTACTGCGTGAGCGCGCGGCGGTTGTTTTATTCATTTGGGTGATGGAACACCACCAGAGTGCACCATGTGTTTGGTGGCTCGGTTTTGTTCCATTACACATACTAGTACTAGACATCCTTATAACTTCGCGGCTGTCCCTTGCCAAAATGTGGTTTTTCCTCTTATACCATTTTAGTGGTTGAATTTTAAAAAATCCTTTCTTGGCGGATGCCTACGTCATAATATAAGGCAGATGTACCTACACCAAATTTTAGCTGGTCCATCTAGTGGTTTGAGTTAATCGGTCACTGGTCAGTCAGTTATAGTCAGTCACGTTTTATTTTAAATATATTATATAATTATTATAACATTTACTATTTACAACGAATATAATAAACTGAGCCAATATGTTTGTGCGAGGTTCAAGATTTTCTGACCATATTATACCTATATCAATTTTGGCATATTTCACATAACAAAAATATGATTATCAATATAACATTTAAATACTATATTACGCTGTTCATCAACTTCATTATGTAACGAAGTCTATTTATAAATCTTCGTTTAATGTATTTAATAGTTTTCACCTGAACTTAAAAAAATGAATACCTTTATAATATATACAAAGCAAACATGTCAATGTTTATTAGATATCACTTGTTAGATCGAAATATATCGGGTTTTAATGTGTAATAGATTATATTATTTTTACGTTCCAAAATAAGTCTAAAAGAGACAATTATTTAAATTCTAAATGAATATTGTTAATAATATATACATCTTTATAAGACTGTATTTTATTGGTATACAAACTAGCATTTGAGATGTATAGAATGAATCTATTATTTGTATAAAATGATACATGAATAATTAATATAGCCATAAATAGGTTATTAAATATATAGTATCATACTATAATTTTAATGTTTACCATTAATGAGTAATAAGTCCACTTATTTACTATTAAAAATGTTGGGGTAATTGTACCTATACACATGTACTGCAGTTGGATAGACATTATAATAAATGTAATTTAATTTGTTTTCAAAAACAAAAGTTATTACACTAAATTAATTAATTTTAATAGACATAAATAAATAATTGACAATACATATATATATATAGGTACCCAAACACAATATATAATACACCCGAGCCCCCCCCCCCTCTAGAGATATGACCATGATGTACATAACACTAAACATTCTAGTGTCGAAATTACAACAAATTATACCGATCAACTAATACACATCTAACGCTTTACTAATAACTAATAAGTGAATGCCAAAAATAATGTACATTGTAAAAATGAAATGTTTGTATATAATATTATGTATGTTAGATTTTTATAAATTGAAAAAAAAAAGACTATTGTAGGTATATGTATATTGTTCTGCGTATTATTAAACATATATAATAAATAATGGAGCTATATAATCAAGATATATAGGCATATATAGGTATTTACATAAATATATTATTATTGCATTAATAAACATTTGCATGTTACTTATTAAATGTAGGGTATATTTATTATAAAATCCAGTATAATAACATCATATAGTATTAAGTATTAATGGTGAGTTTAATGGTATTTTATTATTATAATATATGTTTGAGTAAATTAATTTAAATCACACTACAGAATAGTGTATACGTTAATCAATATACATTATTAAATGTAAATTATAATATTATACAGTTAATGTAAAAAAAAAAAATAGCTGTGTAGCTACCTGTATATAATTTATATCATTGATATTGTTTATTAATTTAATTTAATTCTTATAATAGTTTCACAATTTGTGTGCTTAGTTAAATATTGAATGACCAATATAGGCTACTCATATAGTAGCTAACTTACCTATCAACACTAATATTTAATACAGTATGACACTCATAACGCCGTCAATGAACAGTTATGTACCTATATTACACTACATATAGGTAGTTGCAGATTTTATCTGTTTAAATAAATATTAAACCACCAATATAGGCTATACTTGTATAGGGACTTAATAACTTCCCTATCCAGTAATATTTATATAATGTATAGTAGGTATCTGCACTTTGTAGCAGTACTTACAGACTGATATTAATGTTGTCGATGAACAGTGATGTATCCTATATAGTGTATTACATATTAACATTATATATAGTTGTATAATTTGTGTGCTTAATTAAATATATAATCGCCAATATAATATACTGATTAGGCTACTCAGAGTAGCTACCTATACCTATTTAATTACCTCAAAAATATCATAAAAAGTATTGTAATATACTATCTGTAAGAGTATTCAATAAAATTTGACTTGAGCTTAAAAATATTATGAATAAAGGTTTGGCTACCAAGGACAAAACAATATGTACAATAATATTATAATGCATTATTTATTGAATCAAAAACAAACAAAAAACATTAGGTAGGTATATCAGTATTAAATTTATGTTGTGCGTCAAAACTAGAAACAAAGGACACCATTATACGAAGGATTGACTGATTCGAAGACGATCGGTTTGTAAACGCGATTTTGAAGTATTTGAAAAGACAGAATGAATCGAGAATCACGAAAAAACGATAATAACGACCGGCGGCCGACGTCTAGAATTGAAGCGATTGGGAAGGCTATAAACCGATTTCGCGTACATATATTGCATATTGGGCGCTTTAAAAACAAATGAACTACGCGAATAAAGTAGTAACGGAGGCGAAAAATGGTGTAAAAAGATTAATATTTTCAAAAAACGTTAAAATATTATAAACAAATAATTAAACAGAACTGATAAAGTGATAACAGTGATAACAAAATCATTTGAAGTGGGTTTTTCCATTTTCATCAATTTCGTGCCACCGATATTCGTTAAAAACAAAACAAACATAATATCCGCTGCGGGTCTCGTCGTCAGCTCGTTACATCATTACACAACAATATTCACTCATCGTCAATCGGCACTCGCTCACTCTTCTGTTCTCAGTCCTCACTGGAAAATGTTTCAATTTCGACTTTAGACTTTTAGAGTGTCATTCTGTGTTGCAAGGTATGTACGTTACTTTAATTAATTATAATATAATATTTACAATTATATTATTTTTCATTATAAACAATCAGGAGCGTAGCTAGGATTTCTTTTATAATGTGTTTTAAATTTGATATTAAAATAATACCTTATGTTACTTGTGAGTTTATTATAGTCTAGTATTTCATTTTTTAGTTGTAGTGGTTAATGATTTTGTTATTAAATAACAAGAGGTGGGCAATATTTCAAATACCCACCTATAATTGTATCTTGTATTTAGTTTTTACTGGGTGTTCTTCTTAAGTATTTTGTATATATGTATATTGTATTTAAATACTATTTTTATTTAATGTAATTAGGATTTTAAGTAGGTAACAAAATAATTAAAGTAAATACTTAATATTTTTTACACCAGTCGACTGCGAAATTACAATCCATGTAAATAGATGCAGACTGTTACTGTCACTTATTGGATATGTATTATATAATAATAATATTTCTATAGTTAAATTTTTTTATAAACATTTTTAATATTTTGTATTTTGTATTTACCTACTTATTGAAATTTAGCATTATTTTCTGTACATTGTTTAGTTAAAATATTAACTATAGGTAAGATAACACTTTATGTAGGTATTTATTATTTAGTATTTAAATATAATTTTAAATGTATTAAATCTGTATTACTCTGTAAGTAGTATATACAAAATACCTCTAATTATTAACTTTAAAATTTTATTGAACTATATTATATAATATTTTCGGTTGGAATTATGTATTTTTAATTTGAACTACATTTTACAATTTAACCTATTTGAATGTATATTATAATGTAGCTTTATACATTAGGTATCAGATTTTTATACAATAATAAATATGAATAATCCTATTGTTATACATAAACTATTGTAATGTAGTTAAAATTACACTTATACACTTTAACTAGAAAAAAGGAAAAATAATTTTTTCAGTTGAAAATGTTTAATTCGTCAAGCTACAGAACAAAACGCAGACGAATCAACAATGAATTGCTTGCTTTAGAAAGTTCTGATGATGATGGTAATGAATTGAGTACACAAAATGTGACTGATACTTTTGTTTTGAATTCCATTGAACCTTCAAAAATTAGTCATAATAACTTTCAACAACAACCTCTTATACCTGCTTGGGAGGAAAACATTTTGGAAGTCATTGGATCAACCCAATCCACACTTATTAATTCTATTGAAAATACAAATTCTAAACTACTAGGTGATGTTAATGAAAGTCTAAGGAAGTGGGCTACAGATTTCAATATTCCACAAAACGCTCTTAATGCTCTGCTTAAAGTGCTTAAATATGATGCTGGTCTTTCGTTTTTACCAAAAGATTCTCGTACATTACTTCAGTGTAAATCTACGAAAATAACAAATTTAAGAAATGTAGAGCCAGAAGGTTTTTACTATCATTTTGGTTTAAGTGCTGGTATAATAAAATATTCATCTATTCTGTCTTTGCCTGATGTTATTAAACTAGCTGTGGGAGTTGACGGATTGCCTTTATCGAAAAGCAGTTGAAGCCAATTTTGGCCCATATTGGCTTACATAGTTCCTCATCATGAACATGTCTTTCCTGTTGGAATATATCACGGTCATCAGAAACCACAGAATAGTGATGACTTTTTAAAAGATTTTGTTTCAGAAGCTGTTTTCCTTACATCTGATGGTATTTATATTAATAATATAAAGAAAAATGTTGTAATAGAAGTGATATGTTGTGATGCACCTGCGAAGGCCTTCCTCATGAAAGTTAAAAGTCATTCAGGGTTTTCTTCTTGTACGCGCTGTACAATTGAAGGTGAATATCAACAAAGCCGTGTTTGTTTTCCTTACTTAGAAAATGGAAGCACTATTAGAACGCATGGTGACTATAAACAAATGAAACATGAAGAACATCATACATCCATTACAATTTCAAGTATTTGTTCAATTTTAAATGTAGATATAGTTCAATCATTTTCAATGGATTATATGTATTTAGTGTGCCTAGGTGTTATGCGTAAACTAATTCATTTATGGATGGGTAATACTAAAGGACCCATGAATGTACGAATACCCAGCTGAAAAATAAATCAAATAAACAATGCACTTAATTATAATATCAAAATAAACAGTATAACAAAAGATTTCTCTCGCAAACCACGAGCGCTTGTAGAAATAAACCGCTGGAAAGCAACTGAGCTTCGTCAGTTTTTACTATATACTGGTATGGTTGTGTTAAAAAATGTATTAGCTAATAATTGTTATCAAAACTTTTTAATACTTTCTATCAGTATGAGAATTCTTTTAAGCCCCAATCATAAAAAATTTGTTAACTATGCTCAAAAGTTACTAGACCATTTTGTCAAAACATTTGAGCAGTTGTATGGATCACACTTAGTTTCTCACAACGTACACGGGTTATTACACTTAACTGAAGACTATAAAAGATATGGACCATTGGACAACTGCAGTACTTTCCCGTTTGAGAACTATATGAAGAATCTTAAAAGAATGCTTCGTAAGCATGAGAAACCGCTACAACAAGTTGTTAAACGGTACGAAGAACAATGCCCTAGGTAGTAATACCAATGATCAAAATGAAACTAAAAACAAACTAAATTTGACTTCAAAAAAGCCTGATTGCTATATTTTAACCAAAGAAGGTGATGTGGTTAAAATTGATTCAATTATTAAATCAAACGATAATAATTTAGAGGCTATTACTGGACGAATGTACTTGATCAAGGACGACCTATTTGAAACTCCGCTGCAATCATCTAAAATCAACATTTTTCTGGTCAAGAATCTTTCGGAAAATACAAAAGAGTGGAAAATATCAGATATAAAAAATAAATTATTGTTCTTTGAATTTGAAAACCAACAAAATATAACAATGCCTATTTTGCATAATTAATAGAGTTATAATGTATGATAAATAAAATTGATATAATTATTATAATTTAAATATTAACAAATATTAGTACTCATTTAAATTATTTTATCCTTTATTTAGATATATAATACAAGTATTATGTGGTATAAAATTTATTTTAATATAGATTATAGATATTCATTATTTCTATATTGAATGTATGCTGTATATATTTCTTTATTATTAGATCTTTTTAAAAAAAATGGACTTATTTCAAAATCTTTCATTTTATAGTATGTGGACTGTTGTGAATTTTGAAGCTGATAATACGGTAGACGTTGTACCAGACTTTTGGTTCAAGAATGGTTTATGTGAATGGCCTAATAAAACCAATAGAATGGATACTAAAACAACAATTAAACGTAGGATTAAACCTGATGAAATACATTTTAAAAAATATAAGGCAAGGGTTATGTTGACCAACATTAGTAAGTATTTTTTGGTAAAATAACAAAAAAAAACTATAGTAATCTATACTTAATATAGTATATATAATAATGATAAGCAAATTTATAATTTTATTAGCTAGCTTTGAAGAAGCTGAATCCAAAGCAACCAAGGCACAAGTAACTTCAGAATTGTCATCTAATGAAGATCATATTAAGGCTACAAAAACTGTCAAAAAATCTAAAAATAACATACCCACAGAAACAGCTGTATCAAAATTACCAAATCCTCCATTATATGTAGAAGAATCTGATAACGGTTTGTATTGAAACTTTCTTAGCATTTATAATTTATGCGTTATGTCTTAGTGGGGATTTATTTTATTTTAATCTATTCAATGTATGGACTATTGTCCAATATACAATATATAACTATAGTATAAAATTAAATGATATATTAATAATATAATGATAATAATGATAGAAGTAATATAATTTAACTTTCTATCTATTCAAGAGTAGGTATACAATATAAAGAAGATAAGAAAACAAAATTAATTATTTTATTATTATATTAAAAAATAATAACTTCTATTATATCTTATATTACCTATGTATCTTCAACTCGCCTTTGGTGGAATCACATTTTTAAAAAGGGATAATATTAAAATTATGCCTTTTATATTATACTATGACTATATATTTATCTTTATGTAAAAGAAAATAATCAGGCTCATTATTCACAAACAAATATTTTTAAGGAAGTACCTACTCATCCTTTTTGCATTAATAACTATACAAAACTATACCTTCCATTTATTATGTTTTTATAAATAACTCTAGGATCAACTGATTATGATTCCGATGTGGATAAATTAAACAAGACAAATACTAAAGAAAGTACTGTTCTTTTTAGTCAATCATTTAAAGATAATAGTTATTATGACACGTCTCCAGAAAATGGGCTGTATAACATTGACCATCAAGAACCATCAACATCGCAAACTGCTGTCTCTTATGGTTCAGAAAGTAAGAAAAAAAAAACACATCACATTTCTAGTTCTGATCAGTTAAATAAAAACATTGATTACACAGTCCAACCAATAATTTCACCGTCAAGTGCTAATAAATCTGCAGATGAAAGTGATCAAGGTATTTTTATTATATATTAATAATTATAAACATACCTAAACATTTCAGGTTTAAAAAAATTTTTTTTGTTAATTTTTTCCCCAGCATTCAGAAAATGTGTTAGGGCCGTTCTTACAATGTCCGGTAAAGTGTCGGTTAACGCTAACCGACTGATAACAGATTTTATTACCGGCAGAATTCTTCCGGTTAAGTGTCGGTTAACTTTAACCGGACGTCGTAAGAACGGCCCTTAGACGGTCTTTGGACAACCTAAAATATGATGCAGAACATTTTCACAAACGATTTGATGCCCAAGAATCATTGTTGGAAAAAATTTTAGCCAAGTTAGATTCTCAAGAATCAAAAGGGTCAGCCATGGTCTATAATTATGATGATGTGGATTTAGGAGTTATTGACAACGATGAAGATCTAAACAATATGGAAGAAAAGCTGATTAATGATAAACCATACAGAAGTGCAGTGGTATGAATGTTGAGTATAATATATTATTATTGTAATTGCCATTATTGTTAGTGGTGCGTATAGTTTATAATTTACTCTATATAGTATATATTATTATACCTAAACAATATTTATGTAGGTAGGTATGTTCCAGGCTTTCGAGCAACTACCCTTTTTATACTATATACTTTTTTTTAATGAATGCGTTAACAATTCAACACTATATTGGCCTGTATAATTAATTAATGATTTATAACATAATTTGTATTATGCTTTACAACTTATTTTCCACAGAAAGTAAATATAGTGTATAATTAATATCACTTTTATTATATATTAATTAGTACTCAAGTAAATGTATCATATTTATTATTATTCAGTTTAATAATTATAAAGGTCATTGTATTTTTAATGTTGTCTGGGGGGGAGGGCTTCTGAAAGAATGTACGGTACTATTACACTTATTAAATTAATGTATATACTTCTTAATTTATAACATATAGGTGATAAAAATATTACTTTTCAGATTATGTTACTATCTCGTTTTGTGGGAAATACATTGCCAGAAACAATACGGAAAATAATGCAGCGTCTGTTCACTGACCAATTTCTTTCAAAATATTCTTTTATCGGATTTAAGGGCAAACATCAATTTTCAACATTGCAGTGTTGTTCCATCATATATGGTAACAATTATTTGATATATCATTATAATATACAAGGTGATATTTTAGAAATTTATAGTATTTTAGTTGGATATATTATTTAGCACTAGATCTTACACATCAGTGTATCATATAGTCATTTATTATACTCATTGCTATTGGTTGTAATTTTTTTATGCAATGTGACATAATATATAAACTTAAGTACCTTAAAAATAAAAACTATTCAATTTGAATTTGAGGTGTGATCTAATTTTTTGTTTGACATTCTATACGGAAATTATTACTTTATAAGCACACTAATTATTCACTCAATTCAGTCTTAAAACCTTTTATGTATAAAAGGTTATGTATCATAACAGCTAGAATTAATACATTTTTATTTTTGTAATTTAAACCCAAATTTGGTTTGAATATTTTGAACAATAATTATGTAGGTATTATTTATTATAAATAATACTATATTATAATATTTTATAATCATATATAAGTTCAAGTATAAAATTAAATAACATGTTTTCAAATATCCTGTGTTTCAAAACTTTTATTTTATATTATTATAAACTAATTTAATAACTATACTGAGTATAAATTATTTAGGTTATAAAAGTTTAACAGTAGTTGTATTGAAATACATTATATATTAATATAATAAGATAATATAATTACTTTACAGATATTGTTCGTAAAATGAAAAAGTTTAAAGATACGGCCAACATTGATATTGAAAAACCCATTAAGAACTGGATGGCCCAAGCAACACTAAGAATAAAAAAAATGGCTGAAAAATCTCTGCAAACTAATCATGATGATGATAATTTATTAATTGATAATAATACTTGAACATATATATTTGTATATTAGCATATAAGATTTTGTTAAAATATTATTTATACTAACTGCAGTATTTTTATTATTTCATTATAATATGAGGTAATTTATTTTCATTTAAATTTAAATTTATTCAAATGTATGTATATTAATACTATATATAATACTAGAACATATATTTAAGCAGTATTTGTTTAAACACTTTAAACATATATTCTCTTATGCAGTATAGTTTATTATTAATTATTATTATGTGATACATTTTTTTTTAATTTTAAACTGCAGTATTTTTTTTAACTATTTTTAACTATAACGTATTTTTATTATTTCATTATAATATGAAGTAATTTATTTTCATTATTTATATTCAAATTAATATATATTTATCAGAATATATTAAAGATTTTGTTTAAATTCACTTAAAGTATGGTTTTTTAATTTTCATATTTATTGTTATAGCTCAATAATGGATAGTAAATTTAAAATGTTCAAGACCAAAAACATAAATTAAATAAAATACAATATATTACACAACCAGTTTATAATATTTTATTACTGGTTAATTTATATTTAGTAGTACTATAAATTGTCTGTTATAAACCTAATATTATAGGAGTTAGATAACTTGCGATATATTTGATACTAAATATTTTGAAATTGCATAAATCAAATATTGAGTTACAATATTGTGAAAATATATAGGTAAAATAGTGTGAAAATATATGGCTAAAATGTTGTGAAAATATATGTCAACAATATTATGAAAATATATAGCAAACATTTTGTGAAAATATATCTCAACAATATTATGAAAATAATGAGCTACAATATTGTGATAATATATAGCTACAATATTGTAGTAATGTTTGATCTCCTGCCAAAAATTTTTTTAAATGTTTTGACAATATTTTAAAATATTTTGACAGTTTAATATTTGTTCCATCATCAAACAGTTTTTTTGTTATTTCACCAGCTAACCTAATACCCTTTTTTTCCTGTGTAGCTATAAAGTCAATAAAAGTCTCTTCAATTGTAACTTCTTTATCAATAATACGTACGTATCGAATTATTTCTGTTAACTGTTCTTTATGAGATACGTCGGGCATACAATCAAAAAGTATAGAAAAGTATTTTGCTCTCTTAATTCTATCTAATGCTTCGTTTTTTACTTTTTTCCCTAAAAGTACAATTAATTCATTTTGTATTGTTGGAGAAAAATAACTAAGTTTATTTTTACTGGAACAACTATTAATACTTTTTATGTGATCAAGCAATACGGTATCATAATGGCTAAGCAATTCAATTAAATTTAAAAATATTCCACAATTTTGATTAAACATTTTTTCCGATGAACCTCTAAGTGGTAGATTATTATTTGAACAAAACAATATGATGCGAGTAACAATCTTCAAAATATGACGCCATTTATTTTTTTCATTTTGGATAATTTGTTGTAACTCATCATCGATGGTTTTTCCATCTTCCAATCTTTTTTCGAATTCTTTCCAATCATTTACACAATTCGAATGGTAATCACTATTTTCATGTTCCTTAATTCGGGGATTTAAATGTTTCCAATCGGAAAAGCCACCGTCCCAAAATGAAGATGTCCTAATCTTGTTCTTTTTTGAAAAAAGTAAACAGGGAAAACAATAAATAGCATCTTTTGAAATGCTATATATGAGCCATTGCCTCCGAATCTTTTCACCATTTTTAATAGTTTTATAAAACCATTTTCCTTCGAAACTCCTACGTTCATCATTTAATGGAAAATTATAATTTCTGTCTACATGGAAAGGTTTTTTTTCTACAATTAATATTCTTAACTTATCTGACAGATTAGGCCAATATCCCGGATCACTTAAATCTATAGTTGTAACTGGAAATTCACTACTTTCATCATATACTGGGTGCTCAATTATTTCATTTTGTTCATTCAAATCGTTGATGAGTGCGACGTGTGGTATATACTCCATGAGAACTTGTTTTTTCTGATCGCCCTATATACATCTGAACTTTAATGAATTCCATATTCTACCTAGTTCTTTATACTCGACATCACCATATTCCAAAGATAGTTGGTGATAGTTACGTTCTAGCCACTAGTTGGTTTTACGACTCTTGTTGTCTTGCTTAAATTTTGAATTTTTAAAAATCCAATGTTGGGTTGACCATGTTTCTGTATCTACAATAGACATTTCTTTAATCATGTATTTATTGTCCATTCCAAGGACGCATTGCATGTCCAAGATGGCTGAAGACATTATGGTTTATGGGGATTAGGATTATTTTTCAACTTATCTGTATTTTCTTTAATATGTTGTAAGGATGCGTCAATTATTTTCATGTAATCTATTTGTAGTGATTGAAATGTAACAATTTGTTCTCTTTGTTCTTTAACTGAATTTTCTAATTTATCTAGTTTATTCGAATACGATTTAACAATTTGTTCGAGATTTACTAAAAATGTATTAGTTTCACTAGACTGAGAACTACCGAACACGTTCATGTCTGTAGCTCGACTGACGCAATTTTTTAACCTCACGCATATTTATCCAACTATTGTGTGTATTATCAAACCCTAACCATTTTACAAACATTTGCTTTCCCTCAATACGGATAATTTTTTCAACTAAATAATCGTTTGGTTGATTGGTTTTTTGAATTTCCTCAGAGTAAAAACAGCCTGCAATCGGTTTCCCCATATAATCTTTCAACTGATAAGTAGTAGGTGACGTATCGTTTATTTTAACAATTTTAAATATTTCGGTAGACCAGCTTGGTAAATAACCTTTTGTAAAAACCCCTTTATATTTACTTATGCGAACATTATCACCAATGTTGAATTTAATTTTTCCATTAATAATTTGACGTTGCTTTAATTTCACTGAAGAAGGATTTGTATCAGCTTGTATAGGTGTCATACCTATTGTTCTATGTTTTGAATTGTTGTATACGTTAATCAATGAAGGTAAAATAGAAACCCATTCGTGTGATCCTTGTGCAGTAAACTCTCTAAACATTTTTTCTTTCAATGTGCGGTTGAAACGTTCGATAATGCATGCTTTCGTTGTACTATAGGTAGAATATTTGTGTATGCTGTGCTTTTCCATCAACGCGTCGAATGTTGTATTGTAAAATTCTTTACCATTGTCGAGCTGTAATGGTTTTGGTGCGCTTTTAAGCAGTATTTTAGACATTGCATTTGAAACTTCTTTAGCAATTTTAGACTTTAATGGTGTCGCCCAAGCAAATTTTGTAAAACAATCAATGACACATAAAATATATTTATAACCTTTGTTTTTTTTCGAGTATGGAATCATTTCGACCAAGTCGGCCTGCCATAGATCGTTTTTGCCATAAACATTTACTCTTCGCCTCGTATAATTTTTTCTGGCTGGTTTGTGTAGTTCGAAAGCGATATCACGTTTAGACATTTGGAATTCGTTTTATCAAACCAGTTTCATACAATTCTTCGTAAATTGAAAGTATTTCGTTGGAAAGCCCTGTATTACCAGCAGCTTGAGAAGCTAAAAGTAGTCGTTAACGCTCGACTAACTCATTAGGATCATTCCAGTATACTAAACTTTTATTTTGTAATTTCACAGATAACCCACTACCAGATAGGAACAATGGTTTGATTATGTCGGTGAATTTATTTCCACCTTTTTAAATTTTTTTCCCGTCTGATAACAAATGTGCTGATGTTTGAATTAATATGCGTTTATATGTGTTTAGATCGTCTGCGGTATAGATTTTCGGAGTTTTCAAAATTATTAAACTAACAAGTCCTTGTGTTAACGGGTATGATGTATCTTCAATAATTAATGTATTTCCGTTAAGTTTAATTTCTTTTTTACCCAAATATGCGTCTCCGTTTGATTGAAATTTTGGACCATACGTTTTGTCTATGCTGTACGAGTCCAAACTCGTTTATTTTAAAAACTGGAATTTTCTATATTATTTTTTTCGATATTTTGAACAGTTATCTGCTGAGGTTGCGATGTAAACTATTGAATCTCGTTTAATGGATTGATATTTGGTTTTAATGTTTCCGTTACTAATGAATGAATATCAGCTTTTCCGTGTTTTAATGCAGTATACTTGCGTTTAATATTTTCTTTGGCTTTAATCAATTCTCTGAGTACTTCATTTTTAGACGACATATTTGAGAATGAAGTGTTTTTATAAAAAAAAACATTAGTTTATATAACGACGAACGTATCGAATCCGTGACGATAATTTATGACGATAAACTCAAATCTCCCTTTACGCCAGCATGAAGTACAAAAATCTTTAAACTCTGGATATGACATATTGCCAGAGCAATGTTCCATGTAAACATGTTTTAAATTTGTCTCATCTTGCTTAAACAGTACAATAAAATTAGAGTTGTCGCGCAAAAGTTTCTTAGGTACTTTTGAATAACTCTGAGCTAAATAGAAAACGTCTATTAAATTATGCCGACCTCTGGAAAAGTAAGTTCTTAGAATCTTTTGGTTTTCAGTAATAATATCATCGAAAATAAACACAGAGTTTGGTAAAGCTTTTTCAGGTTCAATAACTTGCTCCTTTTCGTAGAACGTAAATAATTGTATTCCAGCAATGTCTTATAAAATATCACTCAATAATTTATACTTTGGTTGATCCAATGTTTTTGAATATATGTAAACGTTGTGAAATCGAATACCGTTTATGTGTGTTAATAATGTGTATATTAAATTAGTTTTCCCACAACCTGAAGGACCCACGATAAGTGATCTTATCGTATTAGGTAGAAGCGCCCCATGTCTTTGTTTTTTATACGAAGTAGGCGGGTCCATGTTTTCAACTGTGAGTTGTATATCTTGTTTAAGGAATTTCATTTTTAAATAAATATCTCTGTAATACTGTGAACTTGATCAGTACACGATGTCACTCGCTCGGAGAAGGAACAACAATAAAGGCGCTGGTCTTATCAACATGCTTATAAACAAATTACCGCTAGAGCTTCGCGTGCCTGGTGAGATCATATGTGTATATTATATTAGTAATAATAATAACATTTCTCTCTCTCTAGGTTATCAATATTGTGGTCCTGGTACAAATTTAAAAAAACGGATAGCTCGTGGTGACAAATGTATAAACCTTCTGGATTCTGCTAGTAGAGAGCACGACATTGCGTATGAAAATAGTAATTCTTTTGCCGACAAAGCCGATTATATATTAGAGCAGCGAGCCTGGGATAAGTTTAAGGCTAAAGATTAAAATTTAAAAGAGAAAGCTGTAGCTTGGGGCGTGACAACCGCCATGAAAGCAAAACGTAAAATCGGGGCTGGATGTGGGTTTAAAGCAGCCATCAAAGCAGCTAAAAACGCTATAAAGAAAAATATCGATGAAAAAAACCTGATGAAATTAAGTAAAAAATGTCTAACCGTCGCACGAAAAACATTCAGAAAAAGAAAAACTAAAGTTCCAAGGATTATAACAATTCCAAAAAAGGGCACCCCACTTATTCCGATTTTCGCTGGTTTATCGCACTTGGAGCACTGACTGGCGGCGTTGCCAACGTCCTTAAGTTGGCTAATGAATTTAAAAGGAACACGTCATCGCATTTAGGTGGTGGATTATATCTCGCACCGTATAAAGGAAACTCGTACAAAATTGGGTATGGTGCTACACCATTTAAAAGTGGTGGGGGTTTAAAACCGAAAAAAAAACTAATATCTACGTTACCCAGAAGAGCACTATACGATTACGAACTAATAAAAATCGCTCATTTAATGAAAATACCTCATTTCATCGGTGTATTTACAAGAGACAGTGTACCCGTACGTCGTAAACGAATAGAATCAGCGATTGTTAACTTGGACTCGGAACACGGTACAGCCGGTACAGGTACTCACTGGGTAGCGTACAAAAAAAAATAGGAAATCAAGTTCAATATTATGACAGTTTTGGAAATCTACCACCTCCATTAGAAGTACAAAAATATTTTCACGGGTGTAACATCAATTTCAATTATAGCAGAGAACAGAAATATAATACTACAAACTGTGGGCACTTGTGCTTAAAATTTTTATCATGTACACGATAACATTGAACGGGAACTCGAGTGAATTGTCATGTGACATTTTTCCACCGTTGGAAGTAGGAAGCACAGCACAGATATGTCTTTTGAGCTTACAGACAAATAATTCGATACCAAACATCGAACCTGGGTGTAATACTATCGGGTTTCGTGATATTCTAAATGAAAATGAAAACGTTATTATACCTACAGGCACTTACGAATTGGTTCATTTAGAGACTATTATACAAAACATGATGCCTGATTTTGTCAATTTTTTCGAGTTAAAAGCAAACAGCAAGACATTAAAGTGCAGTATATCGTGTAGTCATGATTTGAACTTGAGTGTCGAGAATAGTATAGCGAAACTGCTAGGCTTTCGAAATGTTCTATACACTACTGGTGCCACTCACGAGTCTGAAAATATCGTCAACATCATGAAAATAAACTGTATTAAAGTAAAGAGCAACTTAATTACTGGCTCATTATGTGACGGAGCACCGAGTCAGACTATACACGAGCTTTATCCGTCTGTGCCTGCTGGGTATAAAATCGTTGAAGTACCTAGACATCTGGTTTTCTACGGTCTCAACACGAGATCAGTAACCAGAGTAAATATTGTGCTAAAAGACCAAAACGATTGCCTGATAAATTTGCGCAGTGAACCGATAACAGTTCGTTTACAAATAACGCGTGGATATGGCACTCAAGTTTAATATAAAAACCAGTGCAATCAAAAAACCTGTCAGTTTACAGCCTGCCGTTAAGAAGTCAAGATCTATGTCAAAATCGAAAAAAACTATTTCTAAACCGAAAAAAAAACAAGTCACTAAAAATAATTTAAATTTTCTCCGTTCGTTGCAATGATGGATGACACGTATTTAGACGTCACAGCCGACTATGTCGACGAGTGTAAAATAACGCAAA